GGCTCCCACGTTGGCTCCACGGGCCGCGCTGGCATCTGAGGTCCCCACGATGGGCTCGAGGGCCCTCAAGCATCATGAAGACCTATAAGGGCCCCACAGTGGTCTCCGAACGCCACCACGGAGGCTTGTTTGGCCGCGCTGGACTATGATGGCCCTAACGATGACCTCTGAAGCCCCTTTCGACTACTTTTGAGGGCCCTTGCGATGACGTTTGGTGTCTACTGCAGGCTCGAAGGGACTACTGATTCATTCAGGCGATTCACGTGCCCATTTATGTCACTTATAGTGCAGGGGGGCATCTTCCCCAACGCCAGGGGGCGTCTTTCCCACCCTGTGGGGTAAGATGCCCCCTTTCACTTCTTCAGGAAAATGCTTAATAGCAAAAAAAGTTATCATATTTCAGGCACGAAAGTGTGATATTTTTGGAGAAAAATGATGTCGGCTTCCGTTGAAACTCCAAATTTTTGCTTTCCGATCGTCATTTTCGAATAATATATGACATAGTAAAACCCTGGGCATCTTTCCCCACTCTCCCCTACTCAAAATTTGAAGAATTTAAGACGTTTCCATGAGTTTTGAAGGTATGGATAAGTTCTAAAAATCCGGTTCTCCTTATCTGGGCCATTAACTCCATACGGTCCAGGAAAGCTGGCACACTACCTTTAAGAGTCGTCAGCCGCGAGTCATCAGTATACCGTCACCAGCGGAGGCCGGGGCAGGTGACCGACCCCCATGCCCTGTCTGACACCAGTCTGGGTCTGTGGCGGCGGCGCAGTCGCACCCCGGGCCGCAGTCGAGGTCAGAGACGAACACCAGCCGGCTCCCGGCCGCCGCCACCATATTTCATGTAAAAATTGAATAAACATCCCGCCGCCCGTGAAAGAAGGCAATTAGATCGGCGCAGCGGGTGGTGGACGCCTTTGTTGCCGGCTCAATACCCAATAACTCGCGTCACGCCACAAATAACCGCTCTTTTTGGGGTTATAGAAAACGGAAATTATGACGCACAGTGGCGGCCGTTCGGGGGCTGCGGGACCGCTGCGATAATGTATTGGGGCTGAAGGTCGCCTACTCGGGAGGCTGGGCCTGGGAAGCGGACCCTGCACCGGACCGCGCGAGGCTTCCTGCCACCGGGCCGGCCGGTAAGCCAGCTAACGGCTCGTCACCGTTCAAAGCAAGTCAGAGTCGAACATCTGCACGTCTCCATAATTCTCCTTTACCTTACCTTACCTTACTGTTGGCGGGACTTTGGGAGGCTGCAGAGGCCTTTTCGACCCGTTCTCATCGAGCTCTTTGAAAAATTTCTCTCATACTATATTCTCTGGTTGTGTCACCTCACCATGCTCGGTTTTCCAAGCATTGGTCACTGGTCAGTGGTCACTGTTGCAAAGCATCGAATTGACTGGGTAGGTGAGCGGCGCTTGGAGACGGTAAGAGGTCCAATTAAACAGGTACCGGGCGCTACCCACACACTGACACTGTGCACTGGTACTGAAGCTGACCAGGTACGGAACTGTACCCGGAGCTGGTAGAATGGTGCTCCATTTAGCGGGAGCCGGCTCCGTTTTTGGCTCGTCTCTCCAGAGACTGACGGAGCTGCTGCTGGTCCCCCGCCGCGGCCATTAGCCGATAGCCTTGATCACTCTGAGGAGCACCGTCATCGGTCAGTCATCGTCACAGGTCGCTGACGGCACCCGGCAGGGGCCGGCCGGTGATCATCCCTGTTACAGACCGCTGCCGGCATAGCATGGGGCACGTCAGCAGTGTTACAGGCCGCTGCGGGCATGGGGCACGTCATGGCAATGTTACCGGCCGCTGCCGGCATGGGGCACGTCATGGCAATGTTACAGGCCGCTGCCGGCATGGGGCACGTCATGGCAATGTTACAGGCCGCTGCCGGGCGGGCAGATCGGCCATCGACCCATCGTCACACGCACCTCACCAGCCCTGCACGGGTGGACATGCAATGGCGCCCCAGCCGCTCCCCGGCCAAGCTGAAGCAGCTTAAATTGGATATCACCGGCGGCGGTCGACGCTCATTTTAGAACCAACTATCCCTGCTAGCCTATGCCGCGTCTGCAGTGACGGAGCGGCCTCGGTGTTACGCTCTCTGAGTGCCTGACAGCGAACCGCCGTCAGATGGCGACCGGTGCGGCCAGGAAGGTGGCAGCACTGCGGCACTGTCGGCTCGACCTCCACTGCCGGACGACGAAAGTATGGATTAGAGACAACTATCCATCACTATCCATGACGAAAGTATACCTAGCGGAAAGTGGGGTAAGACGGCCAGGGTAGGTAAGACGGCCATCCCCTCTGCAGATCTAACCAGTGCAGTGGCGCTACGAGTGGGCAAAATTAGGATCAGAGTTGCCTTTCCCATCGCACACCACCTTGAAGCCTGGTGAATTCGTGTTCGGCTAATAAAATTTAACTTAACACCATTTCATTTAAATCATTTATAACTTAAAAGCAATTTTGACTCATTAATAGATTATTGTATATTTGTATGCAGCTCCGTGGAGTTGAGAACTCAAAATCTCTTGTGGTAATTTCATGTCACCAGTGTGCGTCAAACTGTCCTCGGAGAAATATTGCGCTAAAATCGTGACGCTGAGTTTAGGGTTTGACGGCCAGGGATTAATGGGGCCTTTCCCTCTCAATATTTAGAATATATAATGATCGATGTATGAACAACTATGCATTTTTGGGAGGAATCATGCTCGATTTCGATGCACACAAACCTACGAAAAGATACCTATTTATTCGATACAATTCTAGTTATCGTTGTATCGTTTGTCGTTTCGTTATCGCTGTTAAAAACAATTATCGTTATCGCTTTATCGTTTTATCGCTATCGCTGTTTATTTTTTGAAAATTTGTATCGTTTATCGTTTATCGTTATCGCAAACCTGTCTTATCGTTTTATCGTTATCGCAGGTCCGGAAATTAGTTATCGCGGACAGAGGCGGATCCAGCCCAGAGTTTTTTGGGGGGGGGCGAACCATAACAATTTATCGATTCTTTCCATGCATCGTCCATAGGCGTAATGTTAAAATTATGCCGTTTGGGAATTGGGGGGGGGCAAATGCCCATTTTGCCCCCCCCCCCCTGGATCCGCCACTGATCGCGGAAAGCGCTGCAAATTGGGTTCATTATCTTTCTTAGAAGTTATCCGTTTGGATTGCAGAGTTACTCATATATCTGATTTTTCAAATAATCCGACATTATTTTCCATTAAAACACTGAAATAAACTCGTTATATTGAAAACGTTTTTAACTTTTGTAAAAGAGATTTGTTGCAGATTTCGTCAAGTTTGGTGCAATCGCCAGATAACGCATCGTGGAAACGGTTTATGCGAACCTGACATAAACCGTCCTCACCGTTTGTAAGCCTAGGGTCAAAAATGTAAAAAAAAAGAAAAGAAAAATGGCCACAAGATGTAAAATTGACGCCGGGAGGGGTTAGAAAGCTTGGTGACGATATCTGCAAAACTTTAGGAGATACCGACAGAAAAAGAGAGGCCAGAGGGTGTTGAAACGGCCCCCAGCGGTCTTATGAAGGTTTATGAAGAAGCAAGATTGAATTACCTTGGCTTGTCAATTTATGTGCTCGCTCAGGGGGGCGACACGGCTATTCGCGCAATGTATTCAGTTATGGGCCGCGCGGGGCCTCAGGATGACGCGGCTGGAGGCAACTGCTCAGCGCGCTAGGATACTTCTGGCGGGGCGGGGCGCTGAACGGTGTGCAATGAATGGGTTATGGGCGGGCAGACAGAGATGATGTATTGAATTTTAATTGACATCAGCAATCGGGTGGGGAAGGAGAACGTTTCTAATCGAGCTTGGGCCGGGAAAGCCGAAAATGTCACGATCGGCTCAAAGCTGCGTCAGGGTCGGGTGCCGTACCTACCATGTGTAGTATATTTAGGCGGGCAGACAGAGATGAGTTATTTGATTTAAATTCACCCTACCATCGGTTTCTGGTGGGGTTTTCACCCTACCATCGGTTTCTGGTGGGGTTTAAAGACGTTTTTAGTTAAGCTCGGGGTGTGGCAACCCACTGGCGGATCCAGGGGAAGGCATTTGGGGCAAATGTCGGGCAGCGCCCGAAATCGCTTTTCGAGAATAAAAGAAAACTTCACAACTTTTCTGAGGAAATGTTGGTTAATCACACTGCACAGCAGTACGCAAGGAATGGAAATCCGAGTTTTTTAAATTAATTCGGAGAAACCTTTTTGGGGTAAGCCCCCGCAGTGTCCAAGACCGCTTCCTGGATCCGCCAGTTATGAATAAGTCACGGTCGATACCGAGCTTCGGCGCGGGGCCAGGCGCTGTATTACGTTGTACCTACAAGGAAGGGGTGGACAGACACCTAGCCCCACACACATCCTACTGCTATACCCGTGCTTCTGTGGGTGAAGCACTGAAGCATCACGGAATCCCACAGGACCTGCGAGTCGACGAGGTGGCCGCTTTGGCCGCCGGGTGCTGCAGCTCCCTGGAGTTGCCTGGGACCGATGGTAAAACAACAGCTCCGGCGGTGCCCCTATTGGCCGTAGTAATTAGTGAATTCCCGTAATGTAGAGATCATATCCTCAATAATCTTCATTAAGATTATATATTACTAAACAATATGACAGACCAATTATGCTTGCCTACGTTCAGGCATTACCTCTGATGGTTATGCGCCCATGAGTACAACATGTGTTCGGACGGGGTGATCTTTCTACAATGTGCGCACCATCCATGGGCCTAGGATGCATCGAGGTTTAAAAGAATGCAGTCTGTAGATCAATCAACATAACAATGGTGGTATGCAGCCACATTAAAATATCTCCCCCGCTCCGCAGCGTTCCAACGCACCTCCGTTATGCATTCGCCTTATGTGTCGGCCGAGCCGGCTTGCCTCCAATGACGTCATCGGCCGGCCGGCGGCGTTCAAGGTCAAACGGCTGGTGTCCTTACCTGGAGTTCTATAGCCTTGTGCTCGCTATAAAAAAAAACCTACGCTTTACACATTCTGTCAGCATCACAAAATCCAAAAATTCCAATGTTATGTTCCTTGTTTGCCAAATATCATGTGCTTTCTTTGCCAGCTTTCAGCAATGCTCTGTGACCGTGACTTTCGCGTTTGACATTTGCGTCAGCTGCAGTGGTGCGAAACCAGTCACCTGTTGTCCTATCTCGGTCCCACGGCGCTATCGGTTCTCTGTTTGTGTCTGAACCAGCTCCATGGCCGGCCTCAGTCATGTCAACCAGCCTGAGACGCAGACGGTTTGCGTCGTATTTCTCCGTACGCTGCATCAAGCGTGCTGAGTGACAGTACAGGGCCAGTTTTGAGCAGACTCCAGCCTGTGTGGCCTCTTGTCATCAGGATTTGAAGGCCCTTTGATCCTTTGCTCCTCGCCCGAAGCTCCGGCGTTCCCACCAGTACACCGCGCTCTCAATATGTCCGCTCGCTGTGCCGGCACGGCGGTCCTCCTGGCGGCCGTCCTGCTGGACGTGACCTCCGCCGCCCTCCCCGACCCCGCCGAGTGGGACGGCTACAAGGCCGCCCACGGCAAGCGTTACGGCAGCCTCCAGGAGGAGCTGCGCCGTATGCGGGTGTACGCCGACAGCAAGGCGTTCGTGGCGCGCCACAACGCCGAGTTCGCCGCCGGCCGGCAGACGTTCACTGTGGCGCTGAACCGGTTCGCCGACCTGACCCGGGACGAGGTGAACGCGCTCTACAGCGGGCTGCGGGCACGGCGCCGCGGCCCCGGGCCGGCGGCGGGGACGCGCCGCGCCCGCCGGCCCTCCGAGCCCGAGCCGCCGGCCGCCGTCGACTGGAGGGAGCGCGGCGTGGTGACGCCCGTCAAGGACCAGGGCCAGTGCGGCTCGTGCTGGGCCTTCTCCAGCACGGGCGCCATCGAGTCGGCCTGGGCGCTGGCCGGCCGCGGCCTGCGGGCGCTCAGCGAGCAGCAGCTGGTCGACTGCTCGGCAGAGTTCTTCAACCACGGCTGCAGCGGCGGCACCATGGACCAGGCGTTCCGCTACGTGGAGGCCAGCGGCGGCCTCATGTCCGAGGAGGCGTACCCGTACACGGCGGCGGACGGCGGCGCGTGCCGCGCCCAGCCGTCCGGCGCCGCGGCCAACATCACCGGTCACGTGGACGTGATGGCGGCCGGCGCCGAGCCCGTGCTGGCCGCCGCGCTGGCCGCCGTCGGCCCCATCTCGGTGTCGATCGACGCGTCGCAGCGCTCGTTCCAGCTGTACGCCGGTGGCGTGTACTCGGAGTCGGCCTGCAGCTCCATCTGGCTCGACCACGGCGTTCTGGCCGTCGGCTACGGCGCCGAGAACGGCACCGCCTTCTGGCTGGTGAAAAACTCGTGGGGTGCAGAGTGGGGCGAGCAGGGCTACATTCGCATGGTCAGGGACGGCACCAACCAGTGCGGCATCGCCAGCGAGGCTGTCTACCCCGTGGTCTGATGCCTGAAACAATGAGGAAACGCCGACCGTAGTAGCTTAAGTGGGTAGTGTATCTTGCCCGGAGCTTCAACAGAATTTACAGATAAAATAAGCGGTAGTTGCGTCTATTGCTCAAATACCATTGTAATTAACATCATTCAACGCCTATTACTACAACAAAGTGCCTACAGATATGTTATTTTGTTGACTTAAGTGTGGCAAGCTAACAACGCAAAAGTAGTCAACGTTTTTAGGTTAATATTTTGTGGAGCAGAACCTAACTTCTTTTCTAGAATGAGCAGCGTGAATGAAAAGGAATAGTAAAAAAAATACCGTTGAATCACTTTCTTGAGGAAAAAAAAATAAGAATAGCTTAAACAAGAAGAATACCTATGATTCAAAGTCAGCGTGAATATGATTTCGGGAACGTTCCGTTTTTAGTTGAAACTAAGACATCTATTTGATTTCTATGCCTCAGATTTTTTAAAGGGTTGAGTAGGTACCTTTGGGCTACTGTACGTCTATTGAGAATATACCTGCCTATGAAAAATATTCACTTTAGAAGGAAAAAATAAATAAACGTTTAAAAAACATAAAATCTGCATGTTGTCTACTATTGATTAGAGCGTGCACAATAATACGTTTGAGCCATGTGTGACATGTCCGAATTGATTACGTAGCTATGCATCATTCCACTAAGACTATTTTAACACTTGCCTAAAAGTCATTCCACTAAGAACAATATGCAGATACGTGCACTGTATGTACGGCGTACGCTGGTTGCCTACAGCATAATTAGGTCTTCTGGCTGTGGATTGGTGGTGTCACTGCGCGGTATCCCTAGCTGGGACATCCACATTCCACATCATGTGTTTACCGGGCCGGGGCCATCTGCGTCCAGTCACATGCCAGTAGGTCCGTCTGTCGTGACAATCTCTCGTCTGTTACACATCAAACCACCAAACCATATATCGTCAAACAGCGGACGGCGACGGTGCGGGGAATTCCCGACGGAATTTTATTTACCTACTTCTGTGGAATAAAATAAAACACGAGGTGTCAGGAAAATGGTTTTCCCGCATTATTTGCCATGTGTATGTACCTATTCGACTAGGAACACAGAGAATGCGCAAAGTGCTAAAAAAAAATAGAGAATGTATTAACCCGCGCCCCACTAGGGTCTGCGTATAACACGCCCTAGTGGGCGGGGGGGGGGCTCTTCATAGCCCCCCCCCCCACCCCTCCAGTAACTCCGAAACTACTGGGCCTATCGTCAAAATTCAAACGGCGTCTGATAGCCCCAGAAAAACTGTCGAGCGAAACCTAATTGACCTCAAGGTCACCGATGACGTCACAGTTCAGGTCAAAGTAAAAATTATTAGCATTTTGGCTTGTTCACATTTTGGTCTCTGGCTTCCGTCTTACAAGTCAGATCAGGCTCATATCTGGTTTACACACTCGTGAGCAGATGCTTTAGATACCTTGAGGGTACCAAACTTGTACTTTGATTTTCAGGTCAGGGTCAGGTCATCACAGGTCACGGAAATATTGTATCATGCGTCGGCCACGTGACACATGTTTTATGGTCCATTTAGGCCATAAATTTCGAATTCGACGTCGTTTATGTCATTCAAGGTCATTTTGAGTTGAATTTAGCTAGCTTAGGTCAGGCCACTCCCAGGACAAAAAAGGTCAAATTTTTAAGTTGAAATTTTTCAACAAAAACATGTCAATCGGATGCAGTTTGAGCTCAGGAACACGATGGCGCTATTAACCTTCGCCCCAGTGGGGGGGGGGGGGAGTGGGAAGGGCCGGGGGGCATATGTTACTAACCTGTCGCGTTTTTTTGCGTGTTACTAAAAAACCGCGGCGCGGAGCGCCGCGCCACATGGGGTAGCTTTTGGTACATCAATTTTGGACAAAATGTGAAATTTTTGACCCCAGGTCATGTCAGGTCAGGTCACCAGGTCAAGTTAACTGACCAAGCCTAAAAAAGTTTGCAATCATGTCCAGCCTGCAGTGTTTGTCAGAAAGGTTTTAAACTTGGTGGATTGCATCATGTTATGGGCGCCTACAATTTGTATATCTTGGATTTTCTATATCCGTGACCTAAGGTCAGGTCAGTGGCGTGACCTTTCCATTACAAGTCAATGGAGAAAAATGAAAATGCCTCTAGATCCGTGTGTACGCATAGGAACAGTCCAAATATTTCAGAATCACAATGATTTGGACCACCCGTGATGACCAAGGTGTCATTTTTGCTGATAGCCTCTAGAAAGGTCATCCGAGGTCATTTGAGGCTACAAACAGATTTTTGCCAATAACTCGCGATTGGAAAGAGATAGAACGCTGGGGATGGTCTCATTGTGTTTTTCTTGCCGAGACGCTTCGACTGATATGCAACATGACCTTTTCCGGTCAGGTCATGACCTTGACCTGAGGTCAAATTTTCAAGTTGACCTTTCAAAGTCAAATTTTAGTTCATTCGACGCGTCTCAGCGAGAGGAACACGATTCTGGCAATAGAAATGTCGTGGCTTTTTGTAGTCGAAAGTTATTGTCGAAAAACACTTTTCCTAAAAACAGCTGTTTTTGGAGTTTTTGCCCTCTGGAGGCTAAACCGTTGACCAGAGGTCAATTTTGATAATGACCTTATCAAAAGAAGAGTTCAAAGGCTATCGATTGCTTTTCCATGCGTTTTTCTAGCTACCATAGTTCCTGAGATAACGGCACGTTTTCTGAAAAATATAATGACAATTGGCAAATTTTGACCTTTGATGACCTCTGGTGACCCCCAATATTGCTCTTAGGTGAAAAATGACCAAAAAATACTTTCAAACGTACGCATTGAGAGCTATCGACTGCTTTTTACCGCGTCTTTCTAGCCCTCTTAGTTCTTGAGTTAGAGGTGGGTGGTAACATATGCCCCCCCCCCCCCGCCGCTAGGGCGAAGTTGGCTGAGACCGCCACTGGCGCGCGGGTTAATATTGGTGTACGATGTCTAAAACGATGTCTAAAAGATATTACAGAAAAACGAAAGGGGGCTCTGTACTTAGAGCTCCCCCCTCCCAGTCATGCGCGGGTTAAATATCTTGAGCCTATAGCGATAAGGGGCGACTGATGAGCATTATGGTTATTTCAGTTAGGTAAAGACAGTGAACTGAGTTCAAACTTCCCAAGACATCACCTGAGCGAGACATAAATAGCTGTCGAATATTTTAGTCCGCGACGTTGGGAATGCGTCAGCCTTGAGCATTGAGCATTGAGTACCTACTGAGTAGAGCAGAAAATAAATAATAAAATGCGAAACTTTGGCCTGACCTCTGGTGACCTGACTTAGATGACGATCTTGGATCGCACTTCTTATCTCATAAAACGTTTCTAATGAATTATATCATGTTACAGAATGCGTTGACACTGCTGCCAGAAGTAAGCATATATTATTTACGATGCGACAACTCGTGTATTGGCAATGTAGGCAATTAGGCATTACATAACTTTCGTTTCATTTCATCGGACCTTCCTTTATTTGCAATATCTCAATGGATGGCAATAGCCGTTTTCACGACGGCCATCTGGTACACATTTGGTGCACATCTGGTGCAGATTAGGTGCAAATTTGGTCAAATTAGGTTCAGTGTCTCTAAGTAGCTATCAGCTAATAGGTTTGTACTAATTGCTTTATTGCATACTCTGTTGTATTATCAGAGAGCATCATCGATTATAACACTGAAATAAATTCATAAAATAAAGATATTTGCTGTAAAAGCTCGATTAGGTGCAGATTTGGTCAAATCAGGTGCATTCGCCGGATAGCCCGTCGTGAAAACGGCTAATGTCAACCGAGACGCGAGCAGCCTTGTTGACGAATAATACGACGTGTCTGGAGCCACTGCAGCGAACTGTTTACGGGTGTGATAAACACTTCAGCCGAAGCCTACTAAAGCAGCCGCGCCGCGCCGCGCTGCTCAATTCGTTTACTTGAGACCGTGGCCAGTAACTGTCCTCACGAGGGCTGTGTTTTCCAACATGACTCTGATACGGCTGTTGTTATCAGTCACCGCGGTAATAACGTCCGTAGCGGCACAAAGTGAGTGCACGGGTGGACAGGGGACACCTACGATATCTATTTGCACTCTATTTAACTTGCGTTGTCTTGCAGAAAGGTACTTTAATAACGCTTACCTTATGTTGTCCTTGACTTGCTATGAATTCTCACAAGCATCGCTCGGATAGTATCAAAAATCGTCGAATTTGGGTGTGACTTGCGAAAGATGCATGCAAAGTTACAATGCGAAGCTTGGTGCCGATATGTTCACGTCTCACGACTCTTCAGTGGTCGCCCCCCCCCCAAAAAAAAACTACAGGATTATATAAAAATATTTTCTAATGCTGTCAGGGTTAAGTCAATACAGTAACAGATCAAATATCGCTTGAGTAAACATTACATAGCTTAGATCGCCAATCGCCGCATCTGTCATTTAGGTGTAAATGCGAGCATTCAGTGAGAAACGTAGGCCATAGGCAGATAGACGGTGTTCGAGGGCCACTGATAACTGCTCTGACCCGCAGCGGTCAGCTGTCCCGCAGCTGTTCCAGGGCCTCTGTTAACTGTTCTGACCCGCAGCGGTCAGCTGTCCGGCAGCTGTTCGAGGGCCTCTGTTAGGTAACTGTTCTGACCCGCAGCGGTCAGCTGTCCCGCAGCTGTTCCAGGGCCTCTGTTAACTGTTCTGACCCGCAGCGGTCAGCTGTCCGGCAGCTGTTCGAGGGCCTCTGTTAGGTAACTGTTCTGACCCGCAGCGGTCAGCTGTCCCGCAGCTGTTCCAGGGCCTCTGTTAACTGTTCTGACCCGCAGCTGTCAGCTGTCCGGCAGCTGTTCGAGGGCCTCTGTTAGGTAACTGTTCTGACCCGCAGCTGTCAGCTGTCCGGCAGCTGTTCGAGGGCCTCTGTTAGGTAACTGTTCTGACCCGCAGCGGTCAGCTGTCCGGCAGCTGTTCGAGGGCCGCTGTTAACTGCACTGACCCGCAGCGGTCAGCTGTCCGGCCGGCTGGCGGCTGTTCGAGGGCCACTGTAAGGTTATAACTGTTCTGACCCGCAGCGGTCAGCTGTCCGGCCGGCTGGCGGCTGTCCGAGGGCCGCTGCTAACTGCTCTGACCCGCAGCGGTCAGCTGTCCCGCAGCTGTTCGGGGGCCACTGTTAACTGTTCTGACCCGCAGCGGTCAGCTGTCCGGCCGGCTGGCGGCTGTTCGAGGGCCGCTGCTAACTGCTCTGACCCGCAGCGGTCAGCTGTCCGGCCGGCTGGCGACTGTTCGAGGGCCACTGCTACCGGCTGACGGACACCCCCGTCCGCCATGATCGTGTGGCCGACGCCTGTCGGGAATTCGGCGCCGAGCCCGTCAGCATTCACAGCTCTCGACGAAAACAACCTGGTGGCCGGTAAGTCGACGCCGAAACGCTCTTCGTAATTTTGACGAACTTCGTAGCACCTGAAAGGCTAAAAGGGATGTTTTTGATCTATTGTCATTTACTTTTGTGATGTAGATCAAAATGCGATATTTCTTTACTAAGAGCTTCCTACACGTTAAATACCGTTTGCAAAGCGTAACAAATGTATCTTTTATCTTTCCCGGCGTGGTCTGCTGGCGCTGAGGGTGTGTGTCTGTGCCATCAGCGTGGCGGG